GGGCATCCCCGCGGCGGCGCGGGCGGGCGCGCGCGGGACGCCCGGGCTGCTCCGGCTGGCGCTCGGGCCCTGCTCCGCCCTCGCCCATCTTCGCGCCGCGCCTCAGCTGCCCTCGGCCTGGCGGCGCGGCGAGCGCGGGCCCATGGCGGCGCGGCCCGGGGAGGGCGCCGAGGGCCGGGCGGCGGGCGTTGCGGCCGCCGAGGGCTGAGGGGACGCGAGGCCGAAAAGTCCGGGGAGGAGGCCGAGGAGGCCGAGGCGGCTGAGGCGCTGAGGTACCCAGCGAGCGAACGTCGCCGCCGCGGGCCCGCCCTCTGTCGGGCCTGACGTCAGCACGTCGCGGCGCCTTCGGCCCCGCCCCTGCCAGCTTGCTATAAAGGCAGGAGCGAGGGCGGCGCGGTGGCTGCGCTGCAGCGGGGCAGTTTTGGGTGTCTGATGTTACGTCCTCCTCGGAGGTCTGGGGCCGGGGTTCCGAACCGCCAGCGCGGACGCGGGGGCGGGAGCGCCCGGAGGCTGCGAGCGCCGCTGAGGCCTGGGAACTGGCGAAGCCAGAGCGGGCCCGACGGCCACCCCCGCGCCGTGCGGACGAGCCCGCTGCACCCGGGCGGGCGGCGAGCGCACGTACGCGCGGGCCCCGCAGCGGCGCACACGCCGACAGGCAAAGCCGGGTGGGACTAGGGCGGGCGTGCCGCTGCCCCGCAGCCTGGAGGAGGCCCGCGGGGCGGCAGAGGCCGGCTCTGCGCTGGGGCGGGAGGCCCTAGAGGCCAGCTCGCGGGTCACCGGAGGACACAGGGAAACAGGCCTTTCCCTTAAACCTGTGCCCAGGGCTTCTGCGGCGGGGTGCCCGGTGTCGCTCGCCGGCCCAGCCAACCTGCAAAGCGCCGAGGCTGCCTTTCACCTCTGGCCTGTGTCCCTGGCGTCCCCGTCGTCAGCGGCCGCGGAACGCCGGACAGGGTCGCGGGCACAGGCGGCCTGGGCGGCCGAGCTGCGGCGCCGGCGGTGCTGAGCCTGGCCTGTCCGGGGACCGAACTCGCAGTCGCACGCACGTGGGCACCGGCCCAGGCCGGTTTCGTAAGCGGCTTTGGCAAGAGCGTAAGACCCTGCAACTGCTCCCAGGTGCACAGTCGGGAGCCGCATTGTTAGTGTTGATTAGCTGAGTCATCTCCCAGCAAAACTCCGGGGCGCGCATACCAGATCGAGGCTGGCACTGGGAGAAGCAAGGCGAGAGGTCCGCCTCCCCGAACTGTATTCTCACTTTCCTGTGAGAACTGTATTCAAAGGAAACCAGAATCACCTCCAGTTTTGGCAAGAACTGGAATTTGGACCGATGCCTTTGGCCAGATAAAATTTTCAGAGTCCAGAGGCAGGTACAGTGGTGTGTTAACCTTTCCAAATAAGGGCGTTAATGGGGTGAGGCGAAAACCGACAGAATCCCTCTGCTTGCGTGTGCTAAGGCTCAACAGGGAACAGGGCGGCTCCTGCTGCTGCGCCAATGCTGGAAAAATATTTATTGCTCGACCGGCAGATGTGCCCAGGTAGAATCACAGCGTGGGAAGCGTGTACCTTCCTGCTTGGACGGTTAAAGAGACTGTCCATGAAAAACTAAAAGAGACAAGTTCCCAGTGAGCTGGTCAGCCATCCTGAGGGTTGTGGCAGTTTCTGACCTGCAGTATTCCAGATGATGTGAACCAGCTCCGTGGGAGGCAGCCCCCCACACCCACCTGTACACACGTTTTTAAATTAACAAGGTAACAGGTACACAGAAGATGAGGAAAGGAGGGTAGGGTGTAGCTCACATCTGTTGGTTTCAGGTCTGGATGAATCTCTGTAAAAACCTCCCTCTGTGAATCTCTCCTTTTAAAAAGTACTTGGGGCTGGGCGCGATGGCTCACGCCTGTAATCCCAACACTCTGGGAGGCTGAGGTGGGAGGATTGCTTGAGGTCAGGAGTTCAAGACCAGCCTGAGCAAAAGTGAGACCCCCGTCTCTGCTAAA